CAGCCGCGTGGGGGGTCTCCTTACTCCAACAAACTTTTACAAGTAGCAGAGTTTACTTTTCAGTCTTTTCCCTACTGAAGAGAGAGAGCGAAAGGGGGAAGAAGCAGCTCTCCCCCCTTCAAACTTTTCTTCTCTCTCCTCCGGCTGCCAGCTTTGACCTTGGAGGTCCCTTATCTCTTCGCTGGAATTCTTCCACAGCAGTTTCTGTCCAAGCAGTTCGTCTTTTAAACTTTTTTTTTCTTCACTCTCTTACAAGAGAGAAGGGAGGACTTCAGTGCTGCACCTGCTCCCCCCACCCCGGCCCAAGCCAGGAGAGGAGGGAGTCTGGACCTGCTCGGGCCTGCTACTCCTCTCTCCTACATGGCTGCTGTCCCTAATTTCAACTGCTCCACCAACCTTCTCTTCCATTTTCTTGAAGATGTAATTAGTAAAGGCGTCACTGGACTTTTGATTGGCCTTTTTGTCCGGAAATTACCTGGACAAAACCATCCTCAGCCCCAGGGATGGGCTGGTGGGCAAAACCACGACATCAGCTTCTCCAGCACACACAGGGGGCCCCCCCACGTGGTGACCACCAGTGATCCAACACTGCCCCCTGCTGACTGTGGTCAGAATTGCACCAAAGGGTGCAAAGTGAACTGTACTTTGTTTGTTTGTTTGTTTGTTTTGAAGGGGATTATTTTTGGGTGTAGGATTATTGTTTGGTTGTTTTATTTGTGTCCTTTCCTTGTTCTGCCAATACACATATATCTTTTAATAAAGGGCTGTTATTTTTTTTCCTTTTTCCACAGTTTCTCAATTGGAGCCTCTTAATTTCAGATTTACAATTGCTTAGAGGGAGAAGTTTGGGTATTCCTCATAACTCATCCTCAGCAAAACACTTGTGTCTCATTAAACTGAGACACACACATATAGTGCAAAGGGCCTATGCTTTGCACATCTTCCTTCTTTGCAAATATCCTTGAGAAACATCCAAGAAAGTCATTGCACATACTCATTGAGTGCAGCCATCCTGCAGCAGTACACATAAACCAAATAACTCTAAACAGTAGCTAGCTCTTTTAGGAATGGGATTTATGTTGTTGTCACAATGCACAATATTACAACATGTTCTCCTCTGGTATATTATTTAATATAACTGCTTTTTTTTTTAATAACCTCAGAAAAGCAGAGTAAATTTAGAGGGCAAAGTTTTCAAAACAAGCATAAAAGGTAAATAATAATTAGTACTTTTTATACTTTTAAATATTCCAATGACTGTAAAAATACTGAAGTTCTATTCCTCAAACTCTGTTTTGGGGGAGGAAAGAAAGGAGAGCAGGGAGTAAAAAGTTTGATCCAAAGACCAACAGAAAACTTACCAGCGATCTCTGCAGGCTACGGTTCAGACTCTAAAAGATTATTATTATTCTGTTGCTTAACACTGAGGAAATGTTATAACTATTTTTCTCCCAACCCTCAAAAAAGACAGAAATACTCCATCCCCTCCCTGCTAAAAAAAACATAAAAGCTCAAGACCCTCTATTATCTCACCTACGTAAGTCAATGTCTGGGTTTCTTAGTAAGAAGAATGACAAAATCTTGCTGATGAAAAGAAAAAGGAGGATTTCAACTGAAAGTTTAACAAGTTGAGAATTTTTTATATTGTGGGTTTGCAATCAGTTAAGGTCAGTATAAATCAGCATTTAAATGTCTGTCTAACCACTCAAACTACTGACACCTTCCTCCTTGACCTGACATTTCAGTGTTAAGAGGGATAAGAGAACCAATCTGAATGAAAAAAGTCTGTTACAATATGTTAAGTTTTATCCCAGATTCATTCTCTGATCCCATTTGCTATGAGGATGCACATAGTCTTGAGGCAGTATGAAAAAAAGCATAGCACAGTGGCAAAATTAACCTGTCGGAAAAAAGCATAATACTGCTGCTTTCAGCAGCACACTAGCTCCCTCTCATCATGAAACTTTGGCATTAATGGGTGCTAGAAGAGAAAAAGTCCAAAATATAATGCATTTTTTAAAGTTTGTAAGTACTTTGAACTTTAAAAGCACCAACATTATTTTCCTTTGTTTTCCCCCACACACGTTGCTCACCTCTGAGTATCCTTTTCTCATGTTTTAAAGCGCTCTTAAAAGCATCTGTCAAGGTACATACAGAACATGTCTGTTAGGTAATGAACATAATATACCTACCTGGCTCAATAGCAGCAGATATGAAAGACTGGGCTTCCCTTACTCTCTTCATCACTTCTTCCAGTTCCTTGGCAGCAGCTTGTGGTGTCATTTCAGGAGGCTTCACTATTGCATTATTGGAGTGATTTATTCTAAATTAAGAAAAAATAAAACCTTGAACTTCCAAACTCTTGAAAAGGAAAAATTAAAAACAAATAAGAAAACACCTCAACTTCCATGTATGACTAGAAAAGTCAAAGTTCAGCAAAACTACAGATTTTTCCTAACACTCATCTTTAATAAGTATCTGAAATGTCTCTTTTATTGCTTTCAAATCGTATGACTTTTAAATAATTGCAGAACAATATTTCTGTGTTATTTTTAGTAGAAGTCTAGAAATCTATTTCAGATCAAATTTCTACATTAATGCCTTCTAATTACATACACATCATATATAAAACTTAATTAGTACAAAGGACATTGCATATCCTTTCACTGTTGTGGCTTTCACTAATTCAAGATTAGATTTTACTCAATGCCATCCATATTCTTCTTGGAAAAAGTTATGCCAAATCTTGAAATTTGAGTTCATAAAACTGTTCCAGTTTACTAACAATAGGTTTATATTGAAAATATATTAATCACAGCAGTTTCCTTCACATCAGAGTCATAAATGTATAAGGATACTAAGAAATCTCTCATTTGATATTCATATGGATAATTAATTTCTTACTTCAGTGGCCTGTCTCCAAACATAACTCCATTAAAGGCAAGAGCTCGAGGTACAGAATTTTGGTCTGCAAATTCCACAAAAGCAAATCGTGTTGGTTGTGTCTCATCACCTGCCATTCG